TGAAGAAGGAAATTTCAAAAGTGAAACATTAATTTCAATCTTCACCCTGCCCCTTTTTTTGTGGGTAAAAAATAAATTTCCCCTGAAATCAGAAGGATGTAAGCGATAAAGATGTTGAAAAAATTCTAAAATTGAAGCAGTTGAAATTTCATTTTTCTTCTAAAATTCTTAATTGCAACTGTATCATTTTTCTTTACAGGAAATATACAGCTAGAGAAGTCAGTTACTAAATCCTAAAAAAACTTTTGCTGTTTCATATAAATTAAACCCTACTAAACATTAAATTGAGTGCTTTGGAGAAAGTCTGAGACATCTGAAGTCATAGTTCAACATTCATTATTACTTAATATATGTATTGTCTGACCCACTGGCGGAAAAAATGTGGTCTGGATCAAGTGCGAGCACACAATTACACATTTCTTTAGTCACCCACACAGCAAGTAATACAATGCTTATGCCAGATCTATGCCTGCTGTGGGAGTACAGGGGCTAAATGACTGGACAAGAACTGCTGAGACAGCAGAGTGAGCCTGTACTGTTTCTGTGCTTTGCATTTGAGCAATTTTTTATTTGTTGCTCTCCACTCAAAAACCTGATTTAACATTTGGTGGAGCTGAAGCCTGAGGCACTCTGCTCTTCACATCAGATAGCATACACATAATCAACAAATTATTGCTCTTCAGCATCCACTGAGATGACCACCTTTGGAGAGAAGAGATACCTAGTCCTAAGGCACATTCATTCTCTTTTGATTGAGACTGTTAACAAGGGGCAATTGCAATCAGTTCTGACAATGCCGTCAGTGCTGCTGATGACCATCACTGGAAAATGGTCTGAGAGCAAAGCTGTTGACAGAATTCAAGCAGCTGTTAGAGACTAGATAATTTTCAGAGTCTAATTTCATTTCAAGGTTAACTCAGCCCCTTCCTGATATTTGTCCTATGCAATTTTTATACAAAAACTTTGACAGAGGTTTTTTCAGTTTTGAAGGGCGAGTTCTGCAGTATCTGCCCACATTTCATCAGACTGAAGGGAAAATCAACGTAGTATTTATATGCATGTCCCCCATCTTCCCTAAAATACAAGTTTTTCTGGAAGTGATGGAATTGACTGAAGGAATCCTGCAATTTCTCAGTGTGATTAAACATGAAATCAAGCCTTAGTCTTCTGCTAAGCAACTATAGTGTAGGCATTCACTTGTACACAACATATTGAAAGGGTTCTTCAGCATGGTTCACTGTGCATGAAAGATACAGCTTTAGCAGCTGTGCACTTGATGTAGAATTCAAGCAACAGTCCAAGGATTAAAGTTCCCTGAATTCATTATCTGTGCTCAAAAATACCCAGTCACCTCCAGAAGGCATCTGCCTACTGAACGGTAAACTTGACCATCATGGCATTCTGAAAAGATAAGCTAAATACAATAGAAAGGATAAAGAACGGCTTCAGTTACACAATATTGGGCACTTAAGCAAAACTGGAAGTGCAAATCTCATCTAAAATATTGGGGTTGAAGAATACAAAAAATACATCACCACCAAAGTTGGAGGGTTTCTGTAATACTGAATTAATTATAGCTAAATAATTGTTATGTAGTTGTTGTTAATTTCCTGCTTAAGTGGCTACTCTAAGATAAAAACATAACTACAAAAGATCACTTTTTGAAAAAACTCAGACAAGAAATAAACAGAAGAGTGATTTCAAAGTACACAGCTCCTAATGCTTAGAGCGTCACTGCTTCACCTAACACAGTGACAAAGTAATGATGGGAAAATCCTACTAAGTGGCTGCTAACTCACATCTACATTTCCACAATATCAGCAAAGCACAGAAAGCATCCTTTCCCTTGAGAAACCATGGGAAAGCTTCATTTGTTATAGGAAACATGAAAAACACCTTGAGTAACAAAAACCAAAATAGTAACACTAAAGCAGAGCAACGTAGTAGTCTGCTTCTGCCTTATAACTAAACAACCTCAGCATGAGATGGTGGGATTCAGATGGACATGTTCTTTTCTGAATTAAAAGTGTTATTTTCATAAGTCTTTCATGACAGTAATCCAAAAAACCATAAAAAGGCCAACAAACAAGAATTCCCTTGGTCTTTGGCTGTCAGATGACTGACTACTGAATTGATATACTATATTTTCAGTTTATTCTATGAAGAGGTTTTGAATGCTATATTATAACTAACTGTGTTCAAGACTTTTTTCAAAGGTCCAAGTTAAAGTGTGGTACTCTATTTTCCATAGAAATCCATTTTATTTTAGTATCCACAGCTATTTGTTTACATGACATGTAGTATATTGACACTGAACATAATGGTCTGTTGGAAAGGGCACTTTGCCTTATATTTCTCATAACAGATTTTTTTATATTTTTCATAACTTAATAATGTGCTATGTTCCTAATGGTCTTCCTTCTTCCAAAAAAAGTGTCCATAAGCAGTGTGTTATTATTTGGCCTGCTGCCCAGTGTTCAAAAGTGTTCTCACTTGCATTAAAAATTTAGAAATCTGACTTAATTTAATAGGAATTGATTATGAGTCACTACAAGATTTTGAAAATCCCTACCTACCTACCTAGCAATTTAGGAGCCTAATTTTAGACTCTCCCCCCTCTGGGCAGAGAGGATATAAAATGCTTGTAAAAATAGATTGTGTGGCAAAGAATTATGAAGAAGGCTCAGGTTTGTTGGGTGCTGAGATATATGCAGAACACAGCTGACACTTTGATACCAGGAGGCTCTTGATGAAGTTGATAAGCAAGTGGACAAACAAGAATTTCAAGCATTACATTAGTAGCATATTAACCGACTTCTGTATTTTAGAAAAACTCAGTCTTAACCGAATATGAAGAACAGTTTCCTTTTTTCATCACAGAGAATATTCTCCCCTATTTGCCCCCGCAAAGATGAGCAAGAAAAAGACAATTGTTTTTCAAATTTGAGATAATATTTCAGTTCATATCCATGTAGATACAAATACGCTCCCAATCCCAAAGACACCAGGAGATTTACAGTTATAGCCATTGCTTATAATGTGAGAAATGGAGATTTGGGATTTTGATGCAAGGCCAGAATGAACTTAAATTTGAGTTTCTTATATACCTAGTAAACTGCAAACATGACTAATAGGGGATTCCATTGTACATGTATTTCTTTATGCATTAAAATAATTTCAAACACTTGATCAACAGAGACAAAAGAGAACACAAGAGTAAATTATTCTGATGCAGGAATAATGAGAGATCATAATACACTATTTTTTGTACATATACAAAAATGCTTGTGGGCTCCAAAACAATACATATTCACAAATCTGAATATTAAATTTGGAGTTAGACGTAATTAAACATAAGCACAGATCCAAAATATGAACCTGCTGGGGTATGTGCATTGCATTGACAGCAATGTTAGTTGAATGTTATTTTCAAACTGGTATTATATTTTACACAGCTATATATCTATAAAAATAAGATGTTTTCAAATATTTTTATAAAGCTTTTATTGCTGTGATAGAATTCTTTTAACCTTCACCATGTCTTTATTATCTTGAGGAGGGGAGCTATAAAACTGCTGGGTTTAAAATCAATTTATTCTCAAGCCATCTTCCACTAGCAGTTGCAACCTTGCTCACTGCTACCTTCAGTTTGGTACTTGCATTTCTATAGCAGTTGCTGCAAAATGTACTTTTCCCCCCTGTTCTCAATTACAGGTTTCAGAAAGATAAACTGTGCTGCCAAACTGACACTAGAGAGACCTTTTGGCAAGTTATCCCAGAAGGGGTCAGCTTTGTCTCTGAAGTACTTAGAAATATATTGTACATTCCACTACTATGACAATAACTGAGAATACAGCTGCCGGGTATAAAATCCATGATCTTCCCTGATATTAGCCTTCACAATGCTCAAAATGTGGTATATTGAAAGCCTTCTGTAATGAAGCAGCAGCTGGAAGAAACAGGAGGAGCAGTGTGGAGGATCTTATGAAACTTCCCAGAAAGGGAGCCTCATATTAGCATAGATAAAATGGAAGATGTGAAAACATGGTATTCTACCCAGATGGTATTTACAATACTTCAGTGATAACAGACAGGAAGATCCCAGACCTCCCTGCCATACACAGAGAAAATGCTTCATTTCACAACAGCAGTGTCATTCCCTGAGGAGGGCGAGGCACTCCACTAGTTGTGGTACTTGTGCAATTGGTTGAGATGATATGTAAAGAAAAGTCTACATTTGGCAATTCATCCATCTACACTTTTCCAATCACATTTTAAGAAATACAAAAAAGTCTGTGGCAGAAAAATAAAATAATTCAGTTTTAAAATTTGGCTTGAAAGCCTACTCTAAGGCTACAATTTGAAGCAGGATCCTCAATCCCAAAGGTCAGTGACCTTTTCCTAGGGTAATACATATTCTGTGACAAATGCCTCTTTCTCCCTGCTCCCTCTCATTCCATTTCAAACCTGAGATAACTTTCTGACAATATTTTTGACAAAAGTTACAACTCTGTTCTTTCTCTCTTTAATTTAGAATGCCTCCACATAATACAAGTTCTGCTTTGAGCCACAGAGTTGAGCTCACATGTAAGCATTTTGTTGACAGAGACATAATAAGCAGTTTAGAAGAATTTGTTTAAGAAGGAAGGTACACATTTAATTTTCATACTCAAATACTATGCTTCTTAAAAAGTCATCCCAAAGATTTTAGGTTGTCTCCAGAATAGTAAATAACCTTCCTAAACTAGTAAAAAGTATCAACTTTGTTGTGAAAGGCAAAGTGAGATATAAACAGAAAGGCCATGGCAGATGAAGTTGGATCCATTTCCTATGGAGTTCTCTTCCCTCCTCTTGGGGAGATTAGTTTGTTTTTTGGGATTACCATCTTTCCAAATCCATCAAGACAATAAGAGAATATTAAACTGCAGGAGGTTACCCCATCAAAATGGTAAGCATCTTGCAAAATGTGCTAAGAAATGGTGATGATAATTAATTCTTACCTGTAGAGTGTAGTACAAAGTTCCACTGATATTCAACAGTGTGAATAAATTTCAAGTCACTGCTCCTGGGCATGAGTTCACCACAGCCAGATGTTTGCTTTGTTCTTTCAGATCTTAAGTGCCTTTGGGAAAAGAAAATTCTGACACCAAAATATTCAAGACAGATTTTTCAGCTCAGGTTTTTTTCCGTTTTTCTAGTTATTCCAAACTCTATTTTTTTATTATTATTATTATTATTATTATTATTATTATGTACTTTTATAGCAAAAACACAACAAAACAAAAAAACATAGACTAAACCCCACAAATTAGAATGCTAATTGGCTTTAACATGATACAAATTAATGACTTTGAAAATATCACTGTGTTTAATAGACTTTACATGAAGAATTAAGTAAAATGTTATCCGATGCTTACATGTACTGGGCAGTGCTAACTGAACCTACACATTCTTGTCTTCTTCTTCCCCTTAATAATTCTCTTTCTCTAGAAAGAGAAATTAACACAGAGAGACTTGAAAGGAAATTCCTGAAAGGAAATGAAAAAAATTTAAATTGAGGTTTTCTCAAAAACTCGTATTGCATATTTATATTTGGTGAGGAATGGTGGAAAGACAAGAATAAAATGTGGACTGTATCACTGTAGACACTGCCCAAGAGACAGAAATGTCAGTGACTACCTAGAAAGCAGTGAGGAGAGGAAGGAAATTATGTTTCAAATGCAAAGTTTTTGTTTGATTTGTTTTCTTTCCTTTATGAGGAAAAAAGAAACAACTTATTAGATGTAAAATGACAAAACTCTAAAGGTTCCAAAGGACCCAGTGAATTCAGGAGTGCCCTTACAAAAGAGCATTCTGTAAGTACCACTAAGAAAGCACCAGGCATGAACTTCTGACCATTTCCAACTTTTAAAATAATTAACTGCCTTCACTTGCAATGCCCTAGCAACCTCACAGCCCATCACAATGCATCTTTGAACTCCACTGCAGAAAACCATCTCTCTTGTATCTGAATGCAAAGATGCAGAGAATAAAATCAACCTACATGATATAGGCAGAATCTTTAATTACACAGAGAAAGAAAAGATTCAGTCAAGGCTCATTGATCCTGAATATGTAATACTGCCATTCAGAATTACCCCTTTCAGCTGACAAGTTTACCTCCTATAGAAGTAGCACAGAGAAATGTCACAACCAGTGCTCTCACAGGTCCCATTTGTGGGGATCATAAGGTCAGTATGCAGAATCTGTATTCTCTCATTATCTCTTAAATAATATTTTCTGAATGTTGACTGTTCTTTCTCTGCATGCCTTTGTCTGATTCTTTCTAATGACTGATTTTATCATGGGGGGAGGGCAGGTGTTTCCAAAAAAAAAAAATACGTCTAGGGAACCTCCTTGACCAAACAGGGGAAGCTATTGAGTATGTCAGACTTCTTCTCTGCCCAAGACCACTCACTTCCTTCTTTCAAAGCTCAAAAGACAGTCTCTGTTTATGCCCAGGACACACTGTAACTGTACATACTCAACAGCATAAAAATAAGCTAAAATAGACTGTGATGACTAATAGTTAAATATCTAAAGGTATTCTCACACTCACATTCTCATTTCTTCATTTTTTTCAAGTTCTCCTATGTAAATAACTTCTTGAAATTCCACATATTTGTTCATTTTAACACTGTTCTTCCCATTTAGGATCAGATACTTATCTGCCCTTGAGATGAAATAAATGAAACTTTTTTCAAAAATTGTTAAAATGGCAAAAAGTTTGTCAACATAATGTTCCTGATTGAATTACAGTCTGTATGAAATTCATGGTGCAGGCTACTAAGCCACAGAAGATCATGCAACTTAAATGTGTGTAAAACATACCATTTTATTCTGTATTTCTGAATTACAAAGCTTAATCACAATCAAATAAGTGACTGAGCAGCAAGATCAAAGTATTTTCTCAGTTCAGCTATTTTTCATTTAGATACTTAATTCAGTCATTTTTGACAGTTGGCTGGCAGCTTCCACATCTAAAAGCAAGATCTGAGCTCTGAGGTTATTCTAATGACTATAGCCTCCCAGGCCCACCAAACTTACTTCCAATATACTCACGAGTAGCTTCTCTCCAATAGCAGTAAAAGCCTGCATTCTCTAAAGTGACGTGCTGGTCATACTTTTCATCTCCTACATCCTCACCAGTGCCCTTGCCAGGACAGGGCAAAGTTAAGGAAACAAACTCAAGGTTTAGTGACTCAAGAGGACGAAGTCATGGATGACAGCACTTAAAGAAAATCTCATTAAAGTGGAAAATTTCTATCCACAACCATAAACATAACAACAATTAGATACCTATACAGGCTATGGCTGTTGCCATGAGCTAAGGTTTCAAAAAGGTGGAGAAGGCTATAGAGACCAGCAGTAATTTTAGCGAAGTCTGTGCAGAAAAAAAAAAAAAAAAAAAAAAAAAAAAAAGTGCTTTTTTCTCTGATGGAGTTTTATTTTTGTTCCTATTTTGTTGTCCTGATTCATCCCAACAGAAAATTTCTGCTTGCTCTTTGAATGCAGAGAAACAAAACGGAACAGATTAACAAGGTGCTGTGCTGGTACTGATGCCTCTTGCTGGTATCTTTTGTCACAAAAGTATTTTCAGAAAGCAAGTGGAATCTGACAGGTCGTCAACATTAGTCTCTTTTTCTCGAACAGTATTTCCACAGATTAATTAACTCAAATGTCATTCTCTTATAGCTGCATGCACTCTACAGAAGAGTACTTGGTAGCTGCTGTGTGTTTTGGATCAAACAAAGCTCTGCAGGGATACAGTGATAACTCCTGTAAATTACTAATTGCACTGGAATGTTACAAAATGGCTTTTCAGACATATTCTGGGAAAAGTCTTAGCCCAAATGCATTTTCAGAGCAAGAGATTCACCATGGGCCTTTCTTCACCATTAGAAGCAATCTGTTGTTGCATTTGTACATGTATTTTGAGAACAAATTATGTTAACTTTTAGTAGGCATGGGACTTTTACTTGGGCCATTACACCTCAGAACATTCATACCTAGTGTTCATACCTTATTTAGCAACATGGTGGGGCATTGCACCCTTAAGGGAAAGGAGCACTCAAGGTTTGTGTATGCTTGTGGTCAAATGGAAACACAAAAGTCAGAGGGTCCAAAAAAAAAAGTACAGGATTTTATTATTAAATTATACACTTGGCATGGAAATTGGTATGGTAGTCCCTTATCTTCCACAATAAGCTCAAGCAGTGGTTTTTGGATAAAGGAGTAGGGTGAGAGGCAGAGGGGGAGAGAGAGATAGAGGGCTGGATTAAAGAAGGAGACAGAGAAAGAAAGGGAAATTACTAGTCCTGTCTCCAGCATCAATCAAGCTGGCAAGGTGCCCAGAATCCTGGAGAGCATTCATGAGGGTACCTTTCCATAGATAAGTTTTCCCTGCCTTCGAGATAATTCTATCACTTTCTATGCAAATTAGTTATCATGTGCAGTCTGTTCTTCTACGGTTCAGAGAGCTTTTGGGAGTCTTTGGTTATCTTGAACCCACCCCTACAGCCCATATTTTCTTCTCAGCCTCATTCCCACGCCTGTGCTATGCTGTACTGTGCTCATCCCCAGGAGCCAGAACAGTATGTGTCCTCCAGACAAGTGCTGCCCTGCCTCTCCAGCCACACCCTCTTCTTTCTCACAGCATGTTCTTGCCAGCAATCCTCGGCTGGCTCCAAGACTGGCTGTAGGTGCTTGAGACATACACATCAGCCACCTTATCCTCTAGGCTTTCACACATGAGTTGTTATTAATAACTCCTGCTCATCTGTTGACTTGCATCATGCAAGCAGCACATGCACACATGTCCTGTGGGGTAGTCTTGCAGGTTCAGCCCTGGCACCAACCCTCCAAAATCAGACCCACAAATAATTCTCTACATTCAAAATAACTGAAAGACATTCAGTAACTTGTATAGAATTTGCTTTTTACTCTGTTCAGGCAAATCCTCTTGTGCTTTCAAAAACATAAATGTGTCTTCATCTTCAGGCAATAAAGCAAAGCAGAAATAACGTGGCCATGCTGGCCAGGATGAACCTAAAGTGTGAGAATAGTTCACCAGGCTCAAATGCTGCAAGTGTCTTCATGCAAACTTTTGTTGCCCTTTCCTGACTTTGGTAAATCTGAGTCTTTCTTTGCCCTCATCAATGGATCTCTGCTCCTTAATGTCCATCCTCAGGGACAAAAGATCACAGTCATTCTTTCAAAGGCTTTTCCTTTTTTCCTGTTTTCCTTGCCATTCTTAAAGTAACCCCAGAAAAAGGGTGTATTCTAATTGTCTCCTTCCAAACAATGTAACAATTTCCCCCTTACAACTTTTCCTGCTGGGGTTAGAATGAAAGGCAATTATCTGCGAGCATTTAAAGGTGAATGACACCTAGTATAAAATCTACATAGAAAAATTTGTAAATATACAAACAGGTAGCAAAAACACACTTGAAAAAGTATTTCATATTTGAACCTCACACAAAGTAACTCTGACTAATAGATTTAACAAAACAAAACAAAACATGCCCCTACCCAGTATGATAAAATTATTGTAGAAGCCAGAAGGATAAAAAGCCCTCTGAATTATCACCATTTTCTGAGCAACTACTAAACTAACAGTTAAAAGGGTCTGAATACTTTCTAGTCTAATATAGGGAGGTATTATGACAATCCTGCTCCTAAGCTTCTCTGAGCATGAATTAGCATGGGTATATTAGAATAATGTCACATAATTTTCTACATGGAACTATCATTTTGCTGTTACCTGAAGGGACACTGTAAGATACACTATAGTACTATAAATGTAAATATTCTGTACACCAAGTGTTCCATGAGAATGGAAACTTAATGATGTATATATTACAACATCACTGCTGGAGTTAGGGTCGTATTAGCATTTTTGTGATAACCCACCCCAACATTTCCCAGAGGTTTATAATTCAACTGTAAAAATTTACAAGTTAAAATTTAACATATCAAGTCCATCCCAGGAGCACTTTTTTAAAGAAGACAGCCATCTGCATGTTTTTAGATTGAAAATGTATATATAAATGTTAAACACACTTGTTATTGTTCAATTTAATGGGAACAAAAATAATAAAATGTTTAAAATCATAACAGCCTAACCTGAAAGTGTCAAGTTAAAATAGTTCATGAACAATTAAAATAAATTTTCAAAAACAGTTTATGAAGTGTTGAAGTAACTGCTAGCAATAAAACCTGATGAAAAATTACAAGATCCTGACTTTTTTGTTTGTTTATTTTTCTGCATTTTAAAGACCTAATTTTCAACCTGTTCTGTTTGAGGACTCAGCACTGATTTTTTTGCTAGTACAACTACAATTCACTTCCTGCGTTATTGATATGCTTTTAAAATACAAGAAACACTCCAAGTAAGCTGAGCCATGAAAGAGTTTCTTCTCCTCAAGCATACTCTCTCCCCTGAGCTCAGCATTTCCATTAGCTCACCCTGGTGGGCACCATGTCCGGCTCAAATCTCAAGTAACTGTGTAGGAGTCAAAGCTTTCACTCCCTTGATCCAGTACCTATAGCTGTTGAGGTTAGTTCTCAAGAGACCTTTGTTTGTGCAGATCACACATAATATGACTAAGGGAAACAGTTTCTCCTATGTCTGCACCTGTATTGTGAAGCTTTGATACTCACTTATGTTTTCATTGATTTTTCTCTGTCATTGCTGCTGTATACATTTTGAATACTTCTTGAATATAAATAAGGTTTATTGCTAAGATCTAGGTTATTGCCACAAGCTATTTTAAAAAATATAAACTATTCCTTGGTCTATAAGAGGTTGGAAATATTATGAGCCCAAATTCAATATATAGTTTTCCTCATAACAATACTGGAATTATCTAACATATCCCAAAACTGGGAAATTGGGGGTGGGATAATTGAACATATGCAAATTTGAAACTAGGATTTCAGAACCACCTTACATTTTGTTTTCAGAAAATCAAGTTACCTCTCCGTAGCTTCTTCTTTTTGTTTTTGGTGTTTTTTTGTTTTTTGGTTTTTTTTGTTGTTGTTGTTGTTTGTTTATTTTTTGCATAAAAAGTTAAAAGGAATCTTAATATTCTCCCATCAGCTAAAAGTATCGTTGTAACTGTGCTTAGGGTAGGGAGAGTACAGCAAGATGATTTTTAAGGTGCCCTCCAACTCAAACCATTGTGTGTTAACATCTCTGCAATGTACAATGGCAGATAGCCCGTGGACTGAAGAATGTATATGTAAAATACATGAGATACACAAGAGAGTACTGAAGAATACAGAAATTCCTAAATTAGCTTTTTCATTCTTTAACATTCTCTATTTGTGTTGGAGAAAGATGACTGAGAAGCCAAAGCAGTGCAACACTTAAAAACACAAGTCTTCTGGATGGATCCAAGTGAAAAAAAATTCAACGGCAAAAATCAATTGTGATAGCAACAGTATGCATTAATGTGGCTGAAAACAAATCACAAGTTCTTGTGCATAAATATGAATATCAGGGCAAGAAGCAGTTACTTACTTGAAGCTGACTAAATCAAGCAAAAAACAGATACTCAGTGAAGTAACCATGAAGCTGGGAGCAGCAAAAGCACAACAATTTTGAGGATTATGATCAGACTATCAAAGAGTGATGTCTACTTACTTTAAAAGTCTGTTTGCACTTTGCAATCAGCCATATGTTTTTCTCTCTCCTTAATAATTCCCTGTCCTAGCACTCAAAACCCATGGCAGTTTAGCTGAAACTTCTGCCTGTAAGTCATGTTAAAATGTCAAGTGCTTGCCATAGGATCTTTCAATAAGTAACCAGAACATACCTTGAGAGGGCAGGACATGCACATAAGCATTACAGACAAATCGTTGCCAAAAGCATTCTAAAGACCCTTCTCTAGCATCCCCTCCCTGCCTACCAAGTGACACTGGGCCTTAGACATGTGACTAGCCTGTCTGTAGAAGAGAACACCAGAGCTTCAAGTGAAGTTTAAATTCAAATTCTGACCTTCCCACCGGATAGGTTATCTTTCCAGATAACCTGTATATTGTTTCTCCAGTCTGAAGTCTTGCCAGCTTTGATAAAATTGCTATTTCCAGGTTTTCAGATGATCTTTTTTCTAATATTTCTCATTTTCCCTCCTCCAGTTTCCTTTGTAGATGCACTAAATGATAGTGTTGTACAAGCCTGGAGAACTCTTATGGGAATCAATTTGACTAATACATACACAGTATAAAAGGGGGTATTTAACCATCAAAAGGATGTTTTTCCCCTGAACTGGAGAACAAGAGCAATCATTTCAGCTAGAGTTTCTCTATGGCAGTTGGAGAGAAGTGATGGCTTCCCCATGGATTAACATTTCCTGACTTTGCTCTTCACACAAAGGTTACAACTACTTATGTTATATGCAAGCTATGCATAATAATTAGAAATAGGGCACACTGTCTAAATCATCATACTTGTTAGCATTTCAATGCAGATATCATTTTAATCCTTGCATTTCTAATGTCAACAGTAGCCACTTTGAGCTGTCATTGAAACCTTTAATTTCTCTTCTCTTCACATTGCATCTATGTACACATATTGTGTATTGATTATGGTTTGGCATTTCTTCTAGGTTTTTATAACCTTGCAGTAGATTTATGCGCACAAGAACTTAAAGTGGCAACCTAGTACATGTTATACAAGAGAGGTTATATTTGAATTAAAAGTATTGAAGTTACTATCCCATTCGGCAGGATTATATGGATAATAAAGGTCAACTGTGATACATACTATTATGTTAACATGCAAAAGAATGTGTAGAAGTAGTAGCATATGATGGGAAGGGTTTATTTATAATAAAAGCAGGTCATGATTTAGGAATAACTTTAGGATAGCAGTAGACAGTGGTAGTGGATTATTGTAGACATATAGAAAAAGCCATTTTCATGTCAGAAAAAACAATAAATTTAAAACTGGAGTCAGAATCTCAAATCCTAACAAAGCATAGGAAAATACCTGAGGAGGTTTAGAAAGAAGCTTTCTTAAGCGCTTTGAGCTGGTGTGGTTTTTTCCATCAGCAGGCTTCTCGGCAATGGACCTATCCATTCATATTAAACTCATACTGAAAGTCCTGACTGTGACAGTGACTTTGGCACGTCAAGAACACAAGTATTTACTGTGATGTTCCATAGTCAGAACAACTAACTATATCAGGGCATTCCCTGATAATTAAAAATAACCACTTTTAGTTTTCATTATCAATAGTTGCCTCCCTCACAATTCTTCCAGATTTTCTGTAGTTTCAAAAAGAAAGGGGGAAAGAATTTCTCTTCTCTGTAGTTTCTCTATGGAAGGTGATGAGTGTTACAAGGTACTTAAGGCCCTGTACTAGTCAGTTCTGAAACACAGTGCATGCATTACTTATGAGATTTCACTGAAATGTAAATCTGAGCGATTTTCATTTGTTCCCTTGGTCTTAAATGAAACAACATTTACTGAGTCCAAGACATCATTCTCAGAGTTCAAATTCTAGAGAGAACTGTGTGGTATGGCAAAAATTATTAATAAAAAATACATATGTGTCCAGGCAAATAAAGCTTCTGCACTAAAAACCTTCACATTTGTCTGTATTAATGTTTAATGCATTTGTAAAAAGCAGTTCTGCTTTGTAGGATATAGCCACAAAAAGTGTCCTGCAATCTACTAGCACTTATGATCACAGCGTGGGTCGAAAGAGGATTGTCAGAAATGCATGATCCATATTTGATAGATCAGAGGAACCATACAGAGTATATTAAAGCCATATTATAGCTCCTGAAAGGAATGCAAAAATATTTCTGGATTAGCTCTAAAATTAGAGGTTAACTTACCATTTGATTGGCTTAAGCACACAGCATATTAGCAGTAGGTATTGGAGTTTGTGAAGAAAATTCAGTTATGACCTACAGAAACCAATTACACAAGAGGGAAGTAAAAAAAAAATTAAATTATGCAATAATAATGTTTTATAAGTGGCATGTCTTTCTGATAGTATAAAATAAAAATATTGAAATACTATAGTGTGTTCTACCATAACCAGTTTACATCCATGGTACTGAGAACAAAGCATAGTTATAGTTTCTTAGGCAGGCTTAAAAAATGCCTAGTAAGTTATCTGGCGAGTTTGCTTGTATCGCTGAGTTAATAAGATATGTAACATTTTAAAAACAATATAAACTTAGCATCCAGGCAAATTATATTTGCTCTAGCATTTTTTCAGATGATTTTACAAAGGGTTATTTCAGTGATATTGCTGTTGTTCCTACATTTGTGTCCAGGTAGGAGCACCATGATCTGCAAATGCAATGGAAAATATTTCCAATTATCTTCACAAGATATTTCAATTTCAACTGAAAAAGACATTTAAAAGGGGGTTTTATGTCTAAAGACTTTAGATATCAGTAAAAGTTAAAGCGCTGAATTGAGTAATTGCACAGGATTTTAAAGAAGTGTTAATATTTGAAGTAAATGAAAAAAATAAGCATTTTAGATGCAGATACCTTGTGAAAAGGCAAGCTCAAGTTATTCTCCCTTGAAAGATAAAAAAGGGCAGGGGATGTCAGCATACTCTCAAGCTTGTTATATATATACACACATGACTAGTTATAATCTGAACTTGAAACTTGAATTCTTTCTTATTGAACAAAAGCTTAATCCTTCAAACTCCTTGGGGAAATAGCCTTAAACAGGTGAAAATAAAATACAATTAACAAAGAAGTGAAAGGAGATGAGAAGCCCTTTGAGACTGTAGTAAAAAAAAAAAAAAGGCAAAACAAATTAAATTTTCCAACCTGAATAAATCTTTGTAGGAAACATTAAAACAAAAAAAAGGATAAGAGGAAGAAATTAAATAGATCCAAAGTTATGAGTGCACTAGAGAACACAGCACAATAAACTTGAAATTAGCCTATTGGGAAAAGATTAAAAATAAGAATTGTAAACTATACAAGAAGTATTTTGTAGAAATTGCATCTTGTTCAAAAATAAAGCAATCTAACCTATCTTTCCACATGCAATTTTCTACAGTTTAATTTGGTAGGCTAAGTATTGGTTTTGAACTTTTAGCTAATTTCTGTCTAACTAACTTTAATTGTTATGTTTACTTCTAATTTTCATTCAGCAATTACATGAGCTATTCAGTATGTAAAGAGGCTCAAAAATATCTTGAAGCCAGAGCAACCAACTCAAATGCTATTCAAAATTTCTAAAAATATTAAAGAAGTAGTTCCAAAATGGCTGCAAACTTTTACTATCAAAGGAGGAGGCCAGAATTACTTACAATCCACTCTTGTAGTTAATGGTTCACAAACAAGAGAAGCAAAGCATACCACCATGTCTCCAAATTTGTTTATAATGGAACAGTATTTTTTAAGATAAGACTATTTCTTAAAAACTTTCTTAAAATATATGTCATGATTAAGAATGTGCTTTTGTGCATTGTTCAAAATTCACTTGTGTGTGTACAGCAATTGGTTTTAAAGAGCCAAGGGACAAAGCAGATATTGAGCATTTCCAAAAAAAATATGGTGAAGTCTGTCAGACCAAGATTCTTTCCTATCTGATTCCCAAAGATTACAGTCTCCATAAGGGCAAATTCCTATTTATAGGACAGAACTGGCAGAGTGTTGAACCACTGGAATATCAAATCCTTTATCCTTAATTTGGCAGCTAGAAATTAAGCCGAGGTCTCCAGTTTACACTTGAAATCAGAGAAAGAAATGTCCATGGGAGTCTTTGTTGTGGCTTCAGTGTGCACAGTAATGCAGCAATGGAGATGCAGTCACAAATTGGCAGCCATGTACTTCAACCCCCAGTTTGAATTTTATTTATTAGTCCCTGTGCTGTTGTAGATGTAGATACAGAGATACAAGTATATTAATTTTATTCTTAGTGTGCTGCAATCACACCTACATTTTACTTTGTAGCTATACCTTCAGGGAATAGCTTTCAGGAATATTATGCTGGTAAACTTCCCAGGAAAATGTCATTAAATGTCTGCATCTTCTCTCCTATCCCTCTCTTCCTCCTGAAATTTTCTCCTTCACATCAAAAGTTTACTGTTACTTTGAAGTAATAGGAATCAAAGAAAAGGGAGAAAGCTGGCTCTATCAGAGCCAGTGTTGAAAAGTTCCTGAGGATGTGGGAGAGATGAAAGAAACTGGAATTGTTTCAATCAAAGATAAGGAGTTGGAGGTGGGAATGCAAGGATTTTTGGACAAGCCTGTGGAAAGATGAGGGGAGGCATACATATATTTACACACATATTTGAGGGGTGAAAGGAAGTAAGATAGCACAAAGTTTCTGAAATCTACTTCAATATGTTATTCATTAAATCCTTGTTTTGCCTCCTTTCAGTCAACTTCTTGGTACTATTTCAAAAATGAATCCAAGCTCAAATTAAAGAGTCATAGAGAATATCTGCAAAGCCCTTCTGAGTGAGTACAATAAATGACAACTTTCTGGAGTGACAGACAATGTCAATATGTTTAAGCATTTCATCCATTTCAAACCTTTCTTCAAAAATATTTCAATCTTTATCAGTTCCTGGAGCTAAAAAGAGTGGACAAATAAATATAACTCTTTAGATTGCAACACTTTTAGGTTTAAGAATAAATGTAATTAGAAATATTATTCTTTATCAGATTTTAGTAAGTAAGTGAGTAAGTGGAGTGAGTGGTAAGTGGAAGTCAAAGTCAGCAAACTCTGAAAGAAGGTAACCAGTTTGGCTCTGAGAAATGCAGGGCACCTGAGAGATTTCTCTCAAAAACACAACATACAAATGTCCTAGAACTCACCTGGAAGAAATACTGTCCAATCTAATATGGTTTTCTGCAGGTATAAATCCACTTTCTCTGCTTGCCATTTGCAAAACCCACTCATTAAAATTCTATAAATACACCTTTAAATCAAAACGAGGTGTTGTTGTCAATATCCAGACTGATGTCCCATCTTTGAAGAACTTCAGAAGAGAGAAAACTTTATTCCTTTTCTCTTCTTCACTACAGGAATAATTAACAAATATGAGAAAGGACAACAATAATAAAGCCTCAGTTGTGTCTCCAAACATATGTGGATGACTCCACACGCTAAATGCACTACTCCAGGCTTCATCCAGATATTAAAGCAGAAAGACAGAGATTACATTTCATTGATAGGAACAGACAGAACTACAGATCTACCATTCATCTCACCATCTGGGCTTGTATGAAGCAGGGAAATACAGTCTGGAGCACAAAGTATTTCCCCTAGCCACAAAAGCAACATCTTCTCTTGGATCCCGCACAGTGGTAAATGCTAGGTACCTTTTAAAACAAACAAATGTATCCATCATAGTAAAGAAGAGGAAGTGAAACTTGTACCTTTATGCTAATCCTTCTCCAAAAAACAGCAGCTCTGGTTTCTCTGAATCACTTAGTCCATAAATGGATCAAAAATGAAGAAGGCAAGCTGAAGATCAGCTGCTCAGTATCAATTGAAAGTGATTCCATCTGCTTCTCAGTAGAGACCAAGTACTGAATGTCCATATCAGTAAGTCAATATCAGCAACAACAGCATGAAACTTTAGTGGTTTTTTGAGGTATAACAGGAGGAACAGGCATTGAGCAGTGGGGGTAGGAATACAGAGAGAGAGTTTGAATTATGCATAACATGCATGGATCCTACATATTTTTGCACCTTTATTCTGATTCTGTGGAATTTCATCTTTAGGGGGGTTGAGGAGGGGAAGGCAAAAAAAGCACAGGATTATCAATCACAGTCACAAAGAAATTCTATGAGTCTGAATTATGTTCAAAATCATAGATCCAAGAATATCAGAGATGTAAAGCTGTGCTACTAGTTACTCCTTCCATGAGCAACACCAACCTGAAAGTCAGAGTAGCACCCTCTTTCCCGCATCACAGCCTGACACAGAATAGCCACTTAGAAACTAAACTGAGAAACCATACCATCAAAAGATGCGATATCTGTTCTGCTTGGGTCCAAAAGGGCTAACAGTCATTGACTCCCTTGAATTCTTCAACTCCGAACTTTCCTTCTATTGGATTCTCTTCACAAACTTCTGCTGGCATCACTACACAGATTATAGGGTCTCCTCTCATAACCAGGAGGGGAAGAAACATCATGCCCAGTGATTCAAGCCTAATCAAATTCATTCATATTACTGCCATTTTATATTTCATAAGAGGAATTATAATCATCTTCTGAACAAATATAGAGGCTGTTCTGTGAGGATTGCAGGGTAATTCAGTTTGGAAGGGATCTTAGGACATTTCTAGTCCAACCTCCTGCTCAAAGCAGAGCCAGCTCTGAGTACTGATTCCTGGAACCTGACTCCATCTCTTTTGTGACCTCTCTGGCACTGGAAGCTGATATTAAGTGTCCCCAGATCTACTGTGCCATCTCTTCTCCAAGGTGAACAAGCCAGTTTCCTCAGTCACTCCTCCCAGGACAAGTGCTACAGCCTGCCCATCATCTTCAAAGCAATTTAATATTAACTTCTAGATGGAAATACAACACATCAAAAATTCCTTCATTCATCCAGTAACAACTTCTGGAAGAAATACTACAGAAAGGTTAGAAATTAGGCAAGATGTGGCACTATGATCTATATTGGTGCAGTTAAATCCCAAACTGCTATATTGAAAATATTGCTATAGAATGTCTTATAATTCATAAAATCATAGGAAAAGTCAGGTTGGAAGGTGATCTAGCCAACTTATGCCCAAAAACAAGGTCAGCTGTGAAGTCAAGGTTTTAATTCTTCAGTCATCTATTATCATGGGCAGCAGATGAAGAATTCAACCTTATTTTCAAAAATTCCATTTCTTGCTAACTCATCTTTCATTATAGGATTCTAAGGAGCGAAAATATTTCATTATGAACATGGAAATTGTAAGGCAAGAGGGAGGGAAAGCCATCTGTAGCAGAATACACTGCTCCTGTTTATATTCTCCCATCAGTTTGTTTACAGTGAACCCTCCTGAACCTCTCCTTGTTAGATAGAATGCCTTCCCTTTGTGTTAAGCAGGCTTATGCTTAAAGTCAGAATGAGCAGATGGAAAGAAAACTTTTAACAACAAGAGTCCTCCTCCATTGTACTTATGATAACAAAACAGTACAAAGTGTCAGCAGCAGACAGTTTCCTGCCATCTACAATATTAGGTATATTTCTGGCTTTCTTCAATCCAGAGTAGGCTGTTTCTGAGCAACTTGAAACATGCAGAAAATGATTTTGTCAACTGAGGACAAAATTCAAAAGAAGTGTTTCATTCCATGTCCTATCCTTTTGTGTATAATAAATACAAAAGAAGGAGTCAACCTACAGCCTTGGTTCAGAGGTAGTGCACAAGAATAATTCATTTATGTCCCCACTTGCTGTTTTGCAGTCAGGGCACCTTAGGCACAGGCAGGAAGAGAAACAAATGCCTCAAATAGGCAATTAGAATCTGCTTCTAGCCAGCCCCTTCAGTGTTGAATTCAGACACAGCAGCTTGCACAGCAGTTTCTGGACCCTGCTTCTAGATCTTTCTGAACCCAGGGGATTGCTGGAGGACTGCTGGGTACTTTGAGGGGCACCAAGATTCCTGGCACTGCCAGGTAACGATAGCCACAGGAGACTGATGTCTCTAGTAAGCTCTAGCAGCTTCTAACAAGATCCCATAGCTGCTCTTGGTCAAAGGTTCTTCTAGTCCTAATCAGGATATTAGGAAAGATCAAGAACCCTTTCAGCAGGAGCTACAGAGAGGTGTAGAGTACATTAGTTTGTGGAAAAGGGGTTAAATTTTTTTTATATGTGCCTAGCCAGCAGTAATGATGTGGCATATGGCACAGTGACCAAAGCAAGTAGTCCTGCTATCCTCTGGTTACTGAGGACTGCTTGGAAGAAGCAGGAACCACTCAACAAGTGGAGCAAAAGTATCTTTACTAACAGGCTGGCCAGCCTGGTAAGGAACCCTTCAAACCAGGAACAAGGGGGCCAGGAAGTTGGCAACAGCCAATGCAGAAAAGAAATCATGGGTGGGGTTGACAAGTGTGCAATGTGATGTGAACAGGAAAGACCTCAATCTGACCTGAAGAGGATGCCTCAAATCTATGCAAACAAATGAAGTACCAAAAAGATAGCAGATTGGATATGTTTTCTCTGAAATCAGTAAACTGGTGCTTCTCTGAAGTGCCTATACACACAGTTTGCAGCATGGGGAGCAGGTAGGAGTAATTAGATGTCTGTTACAGGGCTACAACCTCCTTTGGTTAGAGATGGGAGCTAGCTCACTCAAGTGCTGCAATGAGTGAACACAGGCTTATTAGGAAACCTTGTTAGGAATGGTAAATCCAGATGCATCCACCGTTTGGATGGTCAGGATGGTGAGGAAGGAGAATTGCCCTTGATGTGAAAACAGCAGACGGGTGAGGAGCCAGCTGACAGCTTGTAAGTCAGAATCATTGAGCAGACAAAAATCAGTAATATCATAAGGAAATATTGGATTTTGTGGCCTTCTTCAGACAGCTGTAATAAGCCTCACCTGCACAGGCCCTCGTGCTCATGCAGACTTCAACCATTTTTCAAGGATCATTTCCCTCCAAACTCAAGAATAGTTCACCCCAATGTGCAGAAAGTCAAACAAAGGTAGCAGAGAGCTCCTGAAAATCTCAACTATAAAAAACTAGCAAGAGGTGGCAGAAGGGACATTTGACCCAGGAGGAACACAGAGATACGGTCCAAGTGTGGAATGATGGCGTTATGTACAACAAAACCCATCTGGAGCTGAATATGGCAGGGAATCTACAAGGCAATAGGCCTCACTTCAATCTCTGAGAAGGTAATGAAGCAAAAAAATTGGAAGTACTTTCCAAAAACATGAAAGGAAAGGAGAGAATATTCAGTATGCATTTATGATGATATTATTATATTGACTTTAGCAAGGATTTTGACACTTTCTCCCATAGCTTTCTCATAGACATATTAATAAAATATGGAGTAGATTAGTGGATGGTAAGCAAGGTGAATTGAAAATTGGTTGAACTGGCAGGATCAAAGGGCTGTGATCTGCAGCACAAGGTCCAGGTGACAGCAACCCCTCACAGTGTACCCCTGGGGTTGATACTGGGGCCAGTGTTGGTTAACATGTTCATTAATTACCTGTAACATGGGCCTGAGTGCACCAGATGTTGCCATTTCAGAGCCACCACAACGGCCTGGAAAAATGAGCCAACAGAAAGGTCATGAAGAGGGAAGGGCAGAAGTCCTGTATCTAGGAAGGAATAATCCCATCCATCAGCACAAGATGGGGGCCAGCTAGCTTGGAAGCAGCTCTGCAGAGACTCTGCAAAGGAGGGAATTAACAACTTGATAATTAAGCAGCAATGTGTCCTTGGGGCAAAGGCAGTCAGCAGTCGCTGGTTTGTGTTAGGGAGAGTATTGTCAGAAGGCTGAGGGAGCTGATCCTCCTCCTTCACTCAGCGCTGGTGAAGCCACTGAGTGTTGGGAGCAGTCCTGGGATCCCAGTGCAAGTGAGACATGGAGCAAATCTGTTTACAGACTGTGAGGATGATTAAGGGTCACATGAGGAAAAGTTGAGAGCTAGGACTCTTCAACTTGGAGAAAAGAAGGCTCACATCTGATCCTGTCAGTAAAGAAGATAGAAACAGACTCTCCTCAGTGGTACCAGCCATAAGTTAAAATACATGAAGTCTGGTTTAACCATTTAAAAAAAAAAAAATTCAGTGTAATTAAGCATTAGAACAGGTTTCCCCAAGAGGCTGTGGAGTCTTGGCCCTTGTAGATACTTAAGATCAGATTTAACACAGCCCTGAGCAATCTGCTCTAGCTGATCCCTTCTTGGAGAAAGGGGGCTGGACAATCTCCAGATATCACTTTCTACCTCAGACTTCCACCAGAGTCTGTGGTGCTGGGATCAGTTTGGTCACCTTCCCAAAGACACAGCCAAAGTGCAGGGACCTTTCATTGTGTTACATGGAGATTTGTGTTCACTTGTTGGGAACCCTCATCTGCTTTAGCTACATTACAAGAATGCATTCATGTCCGTAACAGAAAAGGATCGTGACCTATAAGCCCTGGAGTGCTGTAGGAACACGTGTATGCCGCACTGCGCCGGAATCACTGGGAACTGCTGATGGAGTAGATTCTTCTAGTTAAAAAGCCTAAGCAGAGACATTATAATTAGCTATGGACTCCAAGCTATATTTGCTGGCAGTAGAACTCCCAGGAAGAATTACTCTGATTTACAGTAATTTTCCACTGAGGATTTCATACTTCACCAAAAAAAAAAAAAATATGAGTTCATAATATAACAGCAGAGATGAGAAAACTCCCCAGGAAAGTTTTCTGTGCTTGAATATTTTTGTAATATTTTTGCATCCTTTCTCCAGTCTGATTACATACAAGACTTTATTTGCTAACAAAGAATAAGGAAAACTGAAAAAATATTGTCATACTCTCTAGAACCAGTGATGAAAAGAAATGGCTGTCTAGTTTGCAAAATATTTCTATTTGTCAGATTTTTTTTTTACTTTCCAGTTTTGAATCAGAAAAGGTGGGGAGGGGGCAAAGAAAAAGAAAAAGAAAAAGAAAAAGAAAAAGAAAAAGAAAAAGAAAAAGAAAAAGAAAAAGAAAAAGAAAAAGAAAAAGAAAAAGAAAAAGAAAAAGAAAAAGAAAAAGAAA